TCACAAAAACTACCAGGATGAATGCTGGTCATGAAGGCTTTATAACTGGGTTAATATGTTAACATTAACCACTGATGGCTAATTTTGGTCATCAACTTGACATACCCAGGAAGAGGAAATCTCAGTTACCACCATTAGGTAGGCCTGTGGGCATATCTGTGGGACATCAGTTTCTGATTGATGTGGGAGGGCCCTGCCCACTGAGAGAGGTGTCATCTTTGGGCAGGTGGGCCTAGGCTATTGGGGCAGGTAGCTGAGTAGGCCAAGGGAAGAAGCCAAAAAGCATTATTCCTTCACAGTTTGTGTTTCAAACTCCTGCTTTGAGTTTTCCCTTAATGGTAACTGTCATGTATAAGCCAAATGAACCCTTTCTTTCTCACACTGATTTAGGTCATCGTGTTTATCACAGCAATGTAAAGCAACCTAGAACAGTTGAGACACCTGTCAACTGTTCGCTGCTACCTCCATCTGTTAAGTACACTGTCAGGTAAAGAAGATACTGAGGTGAAAACAGTGAAACACCGGCACTGTCCTCTCAAACAGGAACAAATTCTAGATTTTATGCCACATCTTAATCAAGAGAACAAGAATATAATGTTAAGCGAATCAAGGTCTCATGTAGTTGAGAAGCTGACACAGGAAGGTCAAAGATTCTGGGCTACACATCAAGACCCCATTTCAAAATGGGGGGAAACGTGAATCAAATGCCATAAAATGGGGCTGGAAAGATGGCTCAGAGCTTAAGAGCACTGGCTACTCTTCCAGAGGACCCAAGTTCAATTCGCAGTACCCACATGGCAGCTTACAACTGTCTATAGCTACAGTTCCAGGGGGTCTCACACAGGCACACATGCCAGCAAAACACCAACGTACATAACAAATAGATCATAAACAATTTTAAAAGCCAAAAGAAAGCAGCTAGTGGATGGTTAATGAGAAATGAACATTTCAAAGAATCTCAAAAGCAATTTTCTCTCAAAAAAACAGGCCATTCTTTTCCAGTGAGTAATAGGCAGGTCACATGAAACCTCCTGGAATCAAAGGAAAATTAAAAGCTTACAGGACATCTGAGCATTTCTGATAAACCAGCGCTACTCTCGAATCTCCAAGATCATGTCTGGAGAAGGATGGAGAAGGAACTGCCATGGGTAATACATCCCCATGACAAAGACGAGACTTCTGTACAAAGAACCCAGATGACAGACTACAAAGGAGAAGAAATAAATGCAGGAGGCCAAGGCCTTTGGGTTATTTAGAATACTGTCCATCAGCAGCGTCTGTCTTGCGATTGTTTTTCAGCTATGACTTAAGTTGAACAGATAATTCATTTCTGGTATCTGGTTTTGGACATTACTACCCAATCCAAAGGCTTCAAAGAGACATGAGCTATTCAGTCCAGAGAACAGGTGAGAAATCATTGTAAAGCAAGTATGTGAGTCTCTTTCAGGGCTGTGAGGAATACAGTGCAGGTTGACTTTGTGCCCTGCCCTGTGTATACATAAGCCTGTGCACTGGGTTGGCCCCATTGGGAAACTCTGTGACTGCCAGTGAGTCAGCCACCTGAGGCTGCCATTCTGCACAGTGTATGTGTGTGTGTGTGTGTGTGTGTGTGTGTGTGTGTGTGGAGAGGGGTGGTTTAGTGTTCACAGGGTAAAGGTAACCTCCAATTAAGTATCTCCAGCAACTTTCCCTCAAGCCCCTTTGCCAGGTTTGATGGCCCCATAAAATCTGCTAGCCTTTGTTATCTTGAACGTTATCTCCCACGCCACTCTTTGCACTCTCCTGGGGCTACATGTTATCTCTTCCCACACTGACCTTCCCTTCCTTTCCCAAACACTCAAATCCACGCATCTCTGAACCTTTGTAGTTGCTGTTTCTCTACCTGGAATCGCCTTCCTTCCGCTCTCCACTTGACTGGCTCTTCCGGATCACATCTCATCCAAGAGCACCACTTCAGAGAGGGTGACTGCTTGACTCGGTGCCCTCTCCATCTTACCAGCAGAGCGCATCACCCCTACCAGGCCCATCCCGGCTGAAATATACCTTTCATTTACTTCTACCTTTGCTATTGACTCTGATTCTCATGAAGGTCTACAAGAACATGGGGCTTTTGTTTTGTCTGATACTACACTACACACCCCTCCATCCTCTAAGAAGACCTCTTGTTACATGGTAGTTGTATTTATTGTACATGAAGAAAATCCTACCTTATGGATGACCATGCAACAAGTCATCCGAGATTCACTAGAAACTACTTTCCTCTGTTGCCTCACCTCCTAGGGCAACTGCCTTCTTCCTCCTACTAACTCCAGGCCTACAATCTGGAAGGCAAGTATGACCCTAGAGCTTTGGGAAGATATCTAGCTTTCTTGCATCTCATCTGGAGGCCTTATTTCTCACCATATTAAAAAAAAATCCTTCCATTCTCAATGAAATAAAAGCACATAAATGATCAGAGCATCTTCAAAGAATTTACATACTACTGAAAAAAATTATGTCATATGTATGTCTCATATATGAGAAGAAGAGCGAATGGGAGAGAATAGGACATTTTCACTCTGTTTTTCAGTATTCACCATAAGGAAACTTCCTAAAAGCTGGTTCATTGCCTCCCACTTTTTCCCAGCTTCCCATGAAAGGAAATCCCCGGGCGTCTGATCTGAAAGTGTGGCAAGAAGAGATAGCCCACAGGTTCCCACTTTGAGAAGCAAGAAGAGAAATTCTGAAATGGGAGAAAATACATCTTACGGCTCCTGATTCTCACTCTCATAAATTCTCTCCAGGAGTCTCAGCCTTCCTTAGTCTGAGGGGACAATAGTCAACTTCTTGATCGAGTTTGAAGTGATTGCAATAGGAGGTGTCACCATCAGGAAAGAGTTCCTGCCACTCATCAAAGTGAGACCACACTATTTCTGGTGACCTGATAGGTAACAGTAAGAACTGACACACACAATGCCCTGTGACCTGTAGGTAACCAGTAAGAACTGAAATATACAATGCCCTGTGGACTATTCTGTCTCACACACCAAGCTTGCTCTACACCATTATACAACTTTTGGGATCAGTTCTCTCCTTCCACCACATGGATTCCCGAAATCGATCTCAGTCCTGACAGGGGCACCTTTGCCTATTGAGCCATCTCTCTTCTCCAATATACTTTTAAATCACAAGCGCTAACTCAGAACTGTGAAGTATGCCATTGTCCATGGTAATGGGAGTACACAAGAGAAAGGCTCATTTTATTGTGACGGATGAGAATGTGACTTTGAAAGACCACTGACAGGCAAGACACAGACAGTCTTGGAAGGGAAGCAGGAGCCTCAGTAAAACCATTTTTTTAAGGAAGCAAAGAAGCTTAGAATAAAAAACCTACAGACAGCTGACTGCCTAGATTGACCAGATACAGTATACCCATGGGTGCATTAAAGCTCTACAGAAGACAGAAACAAAGTGATAGTCTGAGAATGTCAAATGGAAATGTACCAAAGCATGCAAACCATCTCTTCAAGCCTCTGGAGTAATTAGGTAATTAGGAAGGAAACACCAACCAGATCAAGCTATAAGGTGTGTGTGTGTGTGTGTGTGTGTGTGTGTGTGTGTGTTGTACATGTAAACAAAGAATGGAAGAATTTGTGAAGAATACATGTTGTGTCTTTTGGAAAGCTCCATAAAGGTGTAAAATGGGCAGAGACAGACTCACAGGATTCATTACAGCTCAACTTAAAGAAGTCTTCTCGTTTTAAGTTTTAAAGGGGGGACTAAAGTTTTTGTCTCAGCATTGCTGGGAAAATGAAATGAAATGATGAGAATGCACCAGGGATCTTAGAGGACCCTCCATACACATCCATACACATGCTGCCACCCCCTCTTCGGGGGACATTGTGGAGGGGCAGGTTAAAAAGATATCCCGATCCCGTAAAGGATCATAATGTCCTTGAAAACCACCTGGAGTCTGCATGGTAAGCTGACAGTACTTATCGGGGTGTGTAAGAAGTGGGGCGTTATTCATTTGTGCTTTACAATGTAGATCACAGAAACATCTCTAGCAGGAGGAAGGGGCTGTGGAATTCCATCCTCTGCCACTGAGTTCTGGAATAGGAAACTTGAGAATTACAAATTCACAAAGGCAGACTGATGCACTTTGACTACATTCTTCTGTCAGGCCCGTTTACTCTTTTTGATTATTCTTGCATTCTTTTTGTATTGATTTGAGGCAGAAAGAAATTGCTACCTGGCACCAGTCTCCTGAAACATTTTCACGAGTACAGTCCCATTTAGTTGTATCACTACCACATCAAGACACAGTGGTGTCTGAAAGTGACATTCAGGGACTGTGCAAGAACATTTCTCAAGGAAAGGGCTATTAAGCAACCTCTCTGACTGTTAGAGAGGCAGCTTGGAAAAAAACAGATTCATACAAATATTTCCTACAAAAGTTCCTTTGATCCAAAATTGCCATTTTCTAAGGAACCTTTGAAACAGACAGCCTTATTCAAAGTCAAACTAAGGGTTTTTATTTTTACTTTTTCCCCTCTGTTCTTAGTTTGAAAAACAATCCTTGGTAACATGAAAAAGAGGCAAAAGGAACCAATTTACAAACATCAAATCAACGTACTTTCTGCTGAAAAATAACCGAGCATCTTGGTCAGGTCTTCCCAAATGTTTAACGACAGCATGTGAATAAAAAGATAGCTCCACGGTCAGAAGCTAGAAGGGGAAATTAGATTTGAAGACCCGGAACAGTCAAATATTCAGGGAAGCAAAACAGAGGCGGTCATGGAGATTTGAGGAAGTGTTATGAAGTCTGAAGGTCAGCAGGACAGGGACACAGGAGCCAGGAAGGATCTGTTATTCTAAACCTTCCTCTAATCATGGTACTAAGGTGGTCCTCCTAAAACCAAATTTGACTTCAGAATTTAGAATCTCTGTGGTTTCTGATCGGCAAGCATCTACTACGTCCTTCCATTCCCCCCCACACACACACAATTTTTAAACAGTACCTTTAAAGAAAATTCTTCACCCCGGTCTGTCCTTCTCCTGGCTTCCTCTGAAGATCCTAAAAGAAGGAGCTTCGAGTTTCTTTCGTTTCTACAATTCGCTTTTTATAGAAAGGAGCTGAAGCCCACGGGAGTTCCCGAGGCAACGACAGCAAAATAACAAGTTTCTTCACCCTTATCTTAAAAATTCAGCCCAAACTGCAGCTTTTCTCACCGTCGCCCTTAGCTCCAAACAAACTGCCTCGGTATTTTATCTTTAATTTTAACGTGGCAAGGAGGATTCCTCGGAAAGCTTCGTATGGTAAAAAAGGAGAACCTTCCAGACTCACTCGCCCCTCCTGGCTTCTAGACCCTTTCACAAACAATGGTGAGCGAGGAACCGTGCACCCTGGTCGGCCTCCCAGCGCACAGACTTAGATCAAGGAGAGGAGGGTCCCCTTGCTCCTGGGCGCCGCTCCCCCGGGGTCCTTCCTAACAGGTCCAGCACGTTGCAGAAGAGCTCCCGGCCGGCCACCCCGCACACCCGGTTGGCTGGAGGGTCTCAGGGCCCTGCGGTTTCCGCACCTCTCCAGGGGCTGGCAGGAGGCGGAGGGACTGCGAGCGCACAAAGTCCCCTTCCTTACTCCTCAGAGGTTCCAGAGCCCTAATGTCTGGACAGCACCCCCGAACCCCGAGCTGAGTGGGGCACGCAATCTCCCCGTACCCCTAGCCAAGCAAACCCGCAGCGCGGCCAATCGTAGAGTT